TTTAGTACCTAATTTTAAGCCTTCCTCTAAAGCTACAGTAATCAAGGCAGTGTTGGTGTAAGGAAAGACATATAAGATCATTGGAATAAAACAGAGAATCTAGAAATAGAACTAAACAGATATGGTCCAATGAGTTTTGAAAGATTATTTAACATTAACATTTTATAGAACATAAACTCAAACTCAAGAGCAGAGGAAAAAATAGTGTTTTCAGCAAATGGCACAAGAACACCTGTTATCCGTATATAAAAAATTAACCTCAACCGTTTATTTCCATACATAAAAATAATTTGAAAGGATCTATGAACCTACATATGAAAGACTAAAACTATAAAACTTTAAGAAGAAATTGTAAGGGAAAATGTTCATGAATTTAGGGTAGGCAAGAATTTCCTAGGATACAAAAATCATGATGTACAAAAGAAAAAAAATTAATGAGATTCCATCAAAATTTAGAACTTTAAATGCCATCGTTAAAATGAAAAGTCCTTAAACAGACCATATTTATAAAACATATAACCTATGACCAGAATATTTAAAGAACACTTGCCGGTCATTAATAGACAACCCAATTAAAAAGTAGACACAAGGGCTAAGGATTTAGCTCACTGGTTCTGCCACCTGCTGCGCAAGTGCAAGGACCTGAGTTCGATCCCCAGTACCAAAAAAAAAAAAAGTAGACACAAGGAGATGATAAATAGCCAGTACAGCACAAGGAAAGGTGTGCAACACTAGAATCAGAAAAATACTAATCAGTACAATAACAAGATCGTATTATACATTCATTAGGGAGATGGAAGTTAAAAGTTTTAAAAGAACAAATGTCAGCTTAGGTATGAACCAGTTAGAACTTTGTAATACTGCTAATGTTAATGTAAAATGATAAAACCATTTTGGAAAACAATATAGAAATTTCTTGTATTACTGTTAAGAACCAACAGTTCTGTTCTTAAGTTTTTACTTAAGAGGAATGAAAACACATGTGCACAATAGATTTGTACATACAAGTTGACTATCCCTTATCTGAAATTCTTGGAACCAGAAGTGTTTTAGATTTTGGTTTGAAATCCACTTGATCTGCAAAGAGGATAGCTACTGCTTTTTTTTCAGATTCCTGTCACATGGAGTATTGTTTTCCACCCTTTAACTTTCAATCTATGAATTTCTTTTTGTATTAAGTGTTTCTTGTATGCAGCATTTTGTTGCATCTAGCTTCTTGAACCATTCTTCCAGTCTTATTTCTTTTGATTGGTGAATTGAGACCATTAACATTGATGGTTATGCAAGCACAAGGACCCATGTTCGATCCTCAGTACCAAAAAAAAAACCACATTGATGGTTATAACTGATACGTATTGACTTATGTTCATCATGACTTTTTCTTTTTGTTGGATTCTCCCCCTTTGCGTTTAATTGCTTGTCCCACCCAACGGATTCATTCTGCTGGGTTTCCTGGGGTTGTGATCCTCGTTGTCTTTTCCTAGGATATTGACTAAAAGTTTTTGGAGTGCTGATTTGGTATTCATGAAGTTCCTGAGGTGCTCTTTGTCATGAAAGTACCTTATTTCTCCATCAATTTTGAAAGATAGTTTTGCAGGGTACATCAATCTGGATTGGAGGCTGTTTTCTTTTAGGGCTTGAAATATCCCACTCCAAACTCTTCTTGCCTTGAGGGTTTGCACTGAGAAGTCTGCTGTGATTCTGATGGGCTTTCCTTTGTAGTGTTTTGTTTCTTTTCTGTAACTGCTTGTAGAATTTTGTTCTTCTGTTGGGTTTCTGGTATCTTAACTATTACATACCTATGTGTAGATTTTCTTTTTTGATCAAGGCTATTTGGAGTACTATATGCCTCACTTATCTGTAAGTCAAGCTCTTTCCCTGTTTGGGAAGTTTTCTGCCATCACTTCTGTGAACAGTTTTTTTGTCATCTGTACTGTCTCCTGTTTCTTCATTAACTCTGATCAGGCTTATGTTA